AATTCTTTCAATAAATATCTTCAATTATAATTTTCTTAAATAAATATCTTTCAAATACAATTCTTTCATATAATTCTTTTTGAATAAAAATCCTTCCAAATAAATATTTTGAATATAATTCTTTCAATTAAAAGTCACCATGTGACACCTCATTTCAAAATCATAAAAACACGGGTCTCAGCCCATTTTCATATTTTTCGTAAACACGAGTCTCAGCCCATTTTTCATGTTTCCACGGCACCTCGTGTCCATAATTAAATCATCATATTTTTCCGGCACATCGTGCCCTCATTTCATATCACAACTAGACGGACAACTCATGTGCCAAATATCATTATCATTTCATTACAGCACCTCGTGCCCACATTTCATATCTCAACTGCACGGACAATTCACGTGCCAAATATCCTCATTATTTACTCACGACACCTCATGCCCACATTTCATTTTATAATCTGCCTGGCCATAGCCACAGGCTCTCAATTTCACCATAAATCAGATTGTTATCAATTTACCAACAATAAGATAAATTACACAAGGTATAAAAATAAATACAAGAAAATCACAACATCACATGAAAATCATCAAAACCACAACTCCACATCATCACATATCGTCCATGATAATAGCCACCTTTATCGCTCCTATTGCCACCCTTATCGCTCCTATAGCCACCCTTATCGCTCCGATTGCCACCCTTATCGCTCCTATAGCCACCCTTATCGCTCCGCCCAGACAATATCAATAGCCACTCTTATCGCTCCTATTGCTACCCTTATCGATCCGCCCAGACAATATTCCAACAATACAATAACAGTGAAATGCCACCCTTATACCCACATAATATCAACGGTGAAATGACACCCTTATCTCCTCAAAATAATAATTCACACAATACAACAATTTACACGACAAGTTATCACGGCAACATAATAAAATCACTACACATTACAGTTTGCTCAATGGCCATAACAAATTCTAAGAATATAACAAAATCAATTAATTTCACAACAAAATAGCCAAAAGCTCCACACAATATGTACAACACCCAAAAACAACCAATAGAGATAGAAACTATTCAACATAAAGCAAAGTCTTCATTAAATTCAAATTTTTAATAATTATATAAACACCTCTTCTTAAGCTCATTTAATTAATTATTTGCAGAGAAAAAATCCATAATGAAATTCAATTCCAATAATTATCAAACTAACAAATTCACGGAATTACATAAATAATCAAGTAACAATCACATCAAATTATCATATAACAATAGATTTAACAACAACAAACCAACAATTACCCAATTTATCACATAATATGCTCAAGACTTTAACTCAATAAATATTTACACGTATAAGCCGAGTACGTACTCGTCACCTCGCGTACACGGCTTTTCACATTTCACAAATAGCACATAAGACTTGATGCCTAAGGGGTAATTCCCCCACTCGAGGTTAAGCAAGACACTTACCTCTTTGAAGTTATGCCGATATTCCAAAATCGCCTTCTTGCTTGAATTGACCTCCGGACCGCTCAAATCTATCCAAATTAATTGTATAACTTCATTAAAATTTATCGAAAATAATTTCGGATAATAATTCGTCGACTTAAAATTTTATTCCAAAAAGTCAACAAAAGTCAACGCAGGACCCGACTCTCGGAACCCGACATAATTTTCATAAAATCCAAACACCCATTCCGATACGAGTTCAACCATACCAATTTTATCGAATTCCAATAACAAATCGACCTCCAAATCTTAAATTTAAACCAAGAGGGTTTTCTAAATTTTTCAACCCAATTCACTAATTTAGTGATAAAAACAACAATAGATTCATGTAATTTAATCAAAATCAAGTTAGGAATTCTTACCCCCAATGTTTTTCTTAAAAAACTCTCAAAAAATCGGCTCACCCGAGCTTCTTTGGTCCAAAAATGGAAGAATGACACGAATTTGGACTTTATTCTGCTGTCCAGGGGTTTGTTCTTCGCGTTCGCGATGAACAAATTCTTCAAAAGTCATTTTCAAACTCTTCTTAGACAGTCTCTAATGGTCATAACATTTTGTATAAAACTCCAAATGATAAATGGTTTGACTTTCTGAAATCTAGACTCCAAGAGCTATAACTTTCATTTGTTGCTCATCTTCCACTTCCTTGTAGATTACGAGATATAAGCTTTCAAAGTCAGCCCTATGCAACAGAGATTTCCAAACTCTTCCCGGACAGGGGATGTTTGTTGGTTGTTGATTTAAAATTTAAATTTTATGGGTTTAAACTTTAAGGCTATTAGTATTTAACTTATTATATTTTTTAAATATGGATTCATATTTACTATTACTTACACTTTTAGTAAATTTTTATGCATTATTTATGCTCCACAATTAAAGTACTAGGTTCATGAATGTGGTGTCACAATACTGCATCCGCCTCTAGTGTATATATTTATCTTGATGAGTTGAGCTCACATTGGACTAAATAGAAATACTGGACTAGTGGAAGGAAAAAAAAGAAAGAAATTACATGACATGATAGGGATGTGTTGCACCTTTTCTCGGCGAACTTCCTGTATAGTTTTTGGGGACAAGATGAATTTCCTGTATAGTTGTTGCACCAAGATAATTTTTCCTTTTTCCTTTTGAAGTTTTTTTTATATCTTTAACAGAATAATGAAAGACTCAACTGAATATTAGAATTCATACAATGCCAATTTTTTTTGTGGAAGGATCATTTTTTTAAAATTACGTAAGAGAATCGAGAAATAAGGAAAATAATGGATGGTAGAAATCGAACTCAAATGTATTGTTGTTTACCCGTAAAAAAATATAGTTGAATTTGTTACATGATTAATAAACAAGCGAATTGATTTGATCCAAAAAATGATAAAGAGACAAGATTAATATTGAGATTAGCAATTGAAATTGAAGAAGATGACGAGCCTAGCTCCGAACACAGTATCTCCGAGAGCAAAAGCGAACATAACGATAAAGTGCAAATAAAGTTGTTGAATTGAGAGCAAACATAATAAAATAAAGCTTTTGTGTGCAGAATATTTCATCCCCTTGCAATGGCTGCTGGGCCTGCTATTCCTAGGGAAACAAGATCCTAGGATCAAGCTCTTTTTAAATGGTAACAAAAGAGTCATTAATGAACGTGATGACAGGTTATGAATGCAAATATTCTCTGCAATGGTCGCTCATTTAATATTAGTGAATATTCCCTCATTGAATGATATCCGATGGAAAACCCTTGGTCTTTTTTTGTTAACTATGCTCCCTTCGGGATTTACCCTATGTCGATTACATTCGTTATATCTGGTATTGGTTCTTCCCTGACTTGCCCTTTGCCTATTTCTGGTTTCACGCATCATGTTACTATTCGACCACCCGTTATAAACCAATTTTACCCCATACAGATAGTCCCCTTACTTTTCGGTGACATATCTTAGTGTTACCGAAAAGTTGGCGAAGATTTCTTTCTTGGCGGAAAAATTCCTGAACAGACTCTAAAGCTTGAAAGGACGCAAGTTTTCTCGCATTTAATACCCCGAACACGTGTTTCCCCACCATTCAGCAAATATTTTCGCCGATTTTTGAGGTAATCATGACCACGATTTTTGCTATCTATAACTTTCGTGCTACTTAACATTTTTACTTCTTCACTTTTACAACTTTCAAAAGCCTTTCTTCATCTTTGCATCTTCTTCAACTTTCTCATCAAAAGTTTTACTGAACTTTTTTTACCATAGCTTCTTTCTCTGTCTTCTTCGGAAACACTAATCTTCTCTTCGGTGGAGGCCCAAAGAAAAATAAGGACAAGGAAGTTGATGTCGATTCTGATCCTCCCACTATTAGCACCATCATACCACATCATCTCAGCACCGCTAACGCCTTTCAAGAGAAGGCTCCTTCTGCATCTTCACTGACTCGGCCATTTAGTAGGCATCCCTCCTCTATTCGCCCTTCTAGTATCCCAACTATGAAGGAGGACTGCAACTGACCCAATTTTGAAATCCTCGTCCTGGATATGGTAGAACAGGTTACCTTCACTAAGGAGGGATTTATGTATGTCTGTACATATCCCTTTACTTTGGGTCCATTTTTCCTAGAGTCGAGTGAAGGGATTGACCAAATAATTTTGGAGTTTTGCCACCGGTATCTGGTATGCTTAACACAAGTAGGCCCATCTATATGGCAGAAGGTGGCTTGCCTTCGCCAACTGAGCATGGAGACCGGGGAAACCCTAACCCTTGCATACATAATGAACTTTTACTCTACTAAAATTTTTCGTAGGGGAGTAATAAACTTTAGCAAGCATGGTCACAACGCTCTCCTCACCAGCATAAATGATGAAAACAATCACGGATAGATGGAACGATCCTTTGTCGTTGCTACCAGGGACATCGTCCCGGCCACAACTCTAACTTTTCCCGAGTCGTGGAATCACTTTCGTAAGTTTTCGGTCATTCACTTCCTTCCTTCATGAAAAGATTGTTTCATGTTGTTACTGATTTTTTTGTTTCTTTTGTCTCAGCCACCTGATGGGAACCATCCCGTGTTTAAGGTCTGGACCAGTGGGTTCAGAAAATTCTGGAAATCATGACTCCAGAATCCGGCCAGTGGAAAGAAATGTCCCCCAAATACGGGCGAAAGGCCAAGCACCATGGTAAGTTAAAACATCCTTTATTTTACCCCTGTTCGAACATAAGAAATCTTTTACGAACAAACTGCTAACACTGTGTTTTGGTCCAATACGAGACTTCCAAGGGGCTCTGTCACCTGCCACGAGGTTGACGTCTTGGTTGACCCCGAGGAGGCCAGGAGGGTATTAGAAAATGTCCTTGCCCGGAGCATAGCTCGTGGATATACCCGAGCCTCCGGTGAGGGTGCTTCCTCTCGGAGTCCCCAGCCTGAGATCAAGAAACCAAAGAGATGGCGCTCCTCCTCGACTGGGATTTAAGAGAAGAGAGCAAAGAAGACGCAATCCGAGCCGACCACTATGGTCCTTGTCGATGAAGGGGAAGCCAGTGGTGAAGAAGCTCCCCTTCAAAGGAGAAAAAGATCTTCACTAGCTCAATCAGATGCTCAACCGGGAGCACTTCAAAACCTAACATCGGATGAAGTTGAGGCACTTTTGGGCGAGACGGGATTGATCGAGAATGTTGATTCTCGTTTTCCGACCTTTTTTGTTGCCTCCGGTCCAAGGAGTTCAGACCCTGAGCCTCTTCTGCCTCCGACCACTGAGCCAATAACAATCAACAGTTCTTCTACCACCGTTGCTTCTTCACCTTCCATACCGATGGGTCCACGCCCATTGACACTAGTTGCTCCTTCGCCACCAGCAACAACTACGTCTCCTTCACCGGTACCACCTGACCAAGAAAGGGGTGCTTCTCCTCCCCGGTCTCCCGACCACGGGAATTTGGGGCATAATTATTCAACACCTTCTCCAGATCCTCGAGGGAGGAGAAGTGCTACTCTTTCGATTTCGAAAGAGTGCCATCTTTTGTCCAAGCCGGTGGAGCTTGCGAATTATCCGAAGTCGTTGGCTTCAGAGAAAGATTAGAAGAAAATGCGCTCCTTTTCTGGAGAGTTCCTGATAAATAATGCCATGCATAGCGCGACGTACGTACAGTACTAGTTTCCTCATATCTTCTTTTCTACTCACATGCCGCAATGGAAATCCTGACTTTAATATTCTATTTTATAGGCCAACTTTCTTTTTTTTTTGTAGGCCTGCAAAGGTTGATCCTCGATAAGAAAGGACTTGCTTCTGAGCGGGATCAACTTTTGGCCGAAAGGAACCAATTTGCTGCGCGCCTCCCAGTGTTAGAGGCAAAAGCTGTTGAGATGGGCGAGCTTGAGGCTCGGTTTCAGCAGAGCGAACAAGATAAAAGTCCCACATCTAAGAAGCTTCTCAATTACACAAAAAACTTCAAGAGGCTAAGGCTAAGTGGGTCAAGCGCCATGACGTTGTGCTTGATGGTGCCGAGCGCGAGTCTGCCTTCGAGGAGCAGATCAATAATTTGAAGGCAGACTTAAGCTCTAAAATTGAGGAGGCCAATGTTGCCGAGGAAAAGAGGGACCGAATGAAAGAGAGGCTTAAGAAGTCCATGGACCTATGAATTTTGAGCTCGACACCCGCCTCCATGCTATGAAGTCCGAAAGGGAAGAGCTTCAAGCCAAAATCAATAAATTCCAGGCCAAACTCCAAGGCCAAGAGGATTCCCTTGACTTCAAGAAGACATATTCCATATATCATATGAAGAGGAAGACCTTGGAGGAGGCCAAATCGGGCATCGCCAACATAGACGATTATATTGCCCATGCCCAGGAACTGGATTTATCTACTCGTCAAAATCTTCCTGTTCTGCCCACTGCGACTCAATTCTCGAGTACTGGTTCCAAGCACTAGTTTTGAGTACTCAAGAACTGAAGGGGATACTGAAGAAGATAAAGGCGCTGAACCCGGAGCGTATCCGCCTTCCTCTACCGGGGGAATTGTAGATCCATCTCCCCCTTCGGGTTCCGGCGGCGATGATGTATAATTGTTTTTTTGAATCTTCTAATTATGTCAAGCTTTTCACCGAGTTTGACACTTTGATAAATAAATAAATTTTTTTTTGCTTAAGTGTTGCACAAAAATATTTCTTTTATATTTAGTCGATTAGACCTTCGAGTTTTTTAATCCGATAGCTTTTGATTCCAGGCATAAACGCTTTCGGAATCTACCCTTTACTACGAGGGTTCCATAATAAAGGGCCCTTATGTTTATGGTGCTCTTGAAGAGGACATCTCTTGTTCATTCCGGCAGAAGCATTTGAAGTTTTAGTTAACTTTCAAACGATAAAATTTACTCATTATTTGGACAAGAAATAAGATAAAAATAAAAGGACTTTATTTTATTCTTTCTATCTTTAAAATTACATAAGCATAAATGTTGCTAACTTGTACAACTTATTTCTACGGAGTTGATCATGCAGTCCCCAATCCTGATGAAACATTGATCCCGACTCTTGCAGTCCACGATTTTCGTGGCATTCCTGGTGCCGTATCGGATATTATTCCCTCTAGTATTCAAATGCAAAGAATGCGAATTCAAACACTGAAAGTCTTGTTTCAACGGTGGAAACAACTTGTGAATGGCTAAATAATCCTTTCTCTATTGATGGAAGGCAAAGCTTGCCATCGAAGCAAAGATTATTTAACCATCCACATAGTCGTTCGCCATCGATGTGAAAATGTTACTGCCTTGATATCTAAAGGTATTTCCTTTGCCGATGTCACTCCCTTCATAGTATGGTTTTTGTTGATACCTCGTTAAAAACCTTTCCAGAAAAACTCTATTGGGACAAAAACTGGTCGAAGGGAAAACAAAGTGCAGCGTGTACTTTCAGCATTGGTAGGATCCATCAGCAGTAATACCTTTTAATTGCAGTCATGTTCTAATTGTTGGGTAATTTGACTCCATCTTGATTTTCCAACTTGTACGACCCTTTACCGATGATACCTGAAACTCGATAAGGGCCTTCCCATATTGGTCCTAGCTTCCCGGTATTGACTTCCCGAGTGCTCTGAGTCACCTTTCTCAAAACCAAGCCTCCTACCTTGAAGTAGCGGAGATTGGCCCTGCGATTGTAATGTCTTTCCATCCTTTGCTTTTGAGCAACCATCCTTACATATACCAAGTCCCTGTATTCGTCGAGCAAGTCCAACCTTACCAGCAATGCTTCATTGTTTGCTTTTTCGTTTGTTCGAGAAAACCTTAAAGTCAGCTCTCCCACTTCCACCGGTATCAGTGCTTCCGTGCCACACACGAGAGAGAAAGGTATTTCTCCTGTGCTTGACTTTGCTATTGTTCGGTATGCCCATAACACTCCCAGTAACTCATCGGGCCATTTTCCCTTAGCATCTTCTAACTTCTTTTTCAGGTTCTGAATGATTACCTTGTTGGTTGATTTTGCCTGTCCCTTAGATATTGGATGGTACGGTGAAGATGTAATTCTCTTGATTTTCAATCCTTCCAAAAATTTTGTGACTTTCGAACCTATGAACTGCGGCACGTTGTCATAAGCAATTTCCTTCAGAATTTCGAATCGGCAGATTATGTAGTCCCATATGAAGTCGACCACTTCGTGTTCACTGATATTTTGGTAAGGGCCTACTTCAACCCATTTAGTGAAGTAGTTAGTTAAAACTAAAAACAATCTTACATTTCCAGGACCCTATGGTAGAGGATCAACTATGTCCATTCCCATTTTCATGAATGGCCATGGGGACAACACCGAACGCAAGAGTTCTGTTGGTTGGTGCACTAACTACGCATGGCGTTGACACTTGTCGCATTTCTCAACGAACGTCTTTGCGTCCCGTTTCATCCGAGGCCAATAGTAACCTACTGTCACGCCTTGACCTCGAGGAGCGTGACTGGCGCTCAACTAAGATACCCCGACCGAGAAAGCCTATACAATACCTTCTACCCAACTTGTGCATGATTAAAGAAAAGATACATTTATATCATTAATTAAACATCATGAGGTCATGTGAATAACACTAGTTCACTTCCATTAGTTACGTCATTAACAAGTTCTCAAAACAGTACACTATACATTCGTAGTTAAAGTGGGACAAATGATACAATTACAACAAGTTTATTTCAACCTTCCCAAAACAGGATACAACCCACACTATGTCTACAGAGCCTCTAATAGAAACAAAAGAGTAATACAATAATGCCGGCAACAAAGCCCCGGCATACCTCAATACATTATGTGCATGGAACAAGAAATACATGAACCCGAAATGAAGTGGGGCGCACCAAGTCAGCTGAGGAAGGGGGTGTCCTGCTATCACTGATCAGTACCACCTGCTATGGAACTACCTGCATCCATTAAAGATGCAGCGCCTCCGGCAAAACAGACGTTAGTACATGTCGAATAATATTAGTACGAAAACCAAACATATGCAAGGACTTGGAATTACAAGATGGATATGATGAATCATGGTAAAAATAAAAGTCTTAGATAGCCATAAAAGTCAAAAAAGATTTATTAAGAACATCCAATAACACATATATATTTCAAGTCGGGAATCCTCTATAACTACTTTTACACAAAGCGGCCTTGCCGCCTGACCTGAATGTATGGGGGTGGAGGTGTAATCACAATACCAAAAACTCTACACAAAGCGGCCCCGTTGCCTCTCCCCAATGTATGCAGGTGAAGGTGTATTCTCAATACCATAACTATACACAAAGTGGCCACGCCGCCTCACCCCAACGTATGTGGGTGGAGGTGTAATCACAATACCACAACTCTACACAAAGCGGCCCCGCCGCCTCACCCCAATGTATGCGGGTTAAGGTGTAACCACAATGCCACAACTCGAGTTCCCAAAATGTTAATAATATGTACAAAAGAGTTCCCATCTAATCAACTATTTGGCACCTTTGGCCGTAGCAAGTGTAAATTCATAAAGTATCATCATATGAGAAATGTAATCACACTGATTTCATACAAGATGTTCTTCCCAAAGGGGTATAACATGATTAAGTCAAAAATAGAGAATCATTAATACACGAGGGTTCTAACACGTTATGCCAATTGGGCATCAATTCTACTAGTTTGAATACCCCTCATCAACAACGTTTCAAGTTCGACTACATATGATAGAATTTTACAAGGATTCAGGAATTCCGATACTAGAACAAGAGTTTAGCCTTCATACCTCGAAAGAGCTTTTTGTAGTGCCACAATAATGTCCCAACACTCCTAACGATGCAAATCTATAGAGGAGGGGAGAATTACAAGCATGATTAGAGAAATTCGTATGTCAAGGGCTGTCACAACTATGACCCATCCTTTCCCTCAACTAATTCAACAATGAAATCACACAAGATTGTTCAACAACTTTCCCACAATCCCTATTAGCTCATGCATGTGATAAATCTACCTTTATCACCCATAATCAACCCCAAACCCGAAATTGAAGAATTGAGGAAAGAAATTCTTACCTCTTTGAAGCCCTAGCAAGTTCCTTTCGATGAAATCCCAAGGTTCGATCAAGGTACAGTGGTGCAATCCTTAACCCTCCCTTTCCTCTCTCTAGAATAGTTCTCTCATCTCTTTAAAATGACCAGTGATCCCCCAAAAATGAACCCTTAGGCTAGATAAACGAAATGGGGGTCGGGTTATAAAATTAGAAAAATAAAGCCCCGACGCAGATCTGCGGTCGCATATGCGACCGCATAATACTTCTACGGCCCGCAAAATGGGTCGCAAAATGGCCCTCCTGAGTTGAGCACTTCTGCCACACTCTGCGAATGATATGCGTTCCACAGATTTGTTATGCGGTTGCATAATGCGCCGCAGGACTTCCTTTTGAAAACTTTCGTGCTGGGTCTGCGATGGGTTATGCGGCCCGAAAAATTATTATGCGGCCCAAAAAATGATTATGCGGCTGCATAATGGACCGAATAGTGGCCCAAACATTTGCCCATATTTTTGTCTCACTCTGCGGCAGATCTGTGACTGCATATCAGTTCTGCGACCGCAAAATGGACCGCAG